ATGTTCAAGGTTTCAGTAATACAGTGTACTGTACACTGTATTACTGTACAGTAATTACAGTGCACTGTAAAGCTACTGACTAGTTAAGCTAATATAACCAGGCTTTCCTCTTCTAGGTAGTAAAATGACAGCAACTTCATTTTGAAGAAGTACAGAAGCGTTTACACTTCACTGTACTGACAGTGCCAGTTTCACAGTCTCCTCACAGTTTTCCTGGCAGTCTAAATTTGCCCAAATTTACAAAGCAGAGTCCCTGAAGCAGCTGACACATCCACATTAAGCCACAAGAAGATCAGCTTTCACATATTTTGAAGTTAAGCATGTATTCAATGGAACCAATCTGTCATGATGTTACCTTGGTACTACATTAATCAAAGTTTCAACTGCATTATTAAAAAAATCTTTATTATCAAAACAGTTAATCAGAAATCCTCTTTAATTATGTGAATAACAACTAAAATAGTGACTCCAAATCCTAAAAGTTAGTGTTCCATTTTTGTTGCATTGTACTTTCTTTTTCAAAGGATTTTAGTCAAGGAGTGGGTAGGTTTAATACTATGTGCAATCGCCAACAGAGGTTAACCTTTTTAACCTAACGTATATTCATTTCATATAAATATTTTTAACATTGAAGCTAGAGCACAGAGCACATTTTGGTCCCCCAGATGGCAGCAAAATGCACTCCTATTGAGCTAAATGAATTTTTAACCTTTAAGATATATGTATGTCTGGTACGAGGAAATGATGCAGTTTGCTTTGGAAGGTAAAAAGCAATTTTATCAATTTTCCACACTGTCATAAAAGTATATCTTGATTTCTCTTGTTAGCAGAACAGTTTTCAATACTCACATCCTGATTATATTCCAAGAAGACATGGAAATTTAAATCCTTTCTCAAAATGGGATGTGCTGCTACACGACACAAAAACACCTCATGCATCGCAACCGTCTTCTTGAATATTGCCAAATATTCACTGAAAAGAAGACAGATAGACATAAGGGTTTCAAATGAAGCAATTAAGTTTCAAATAAGCCTAATGAGAAGTTTTAAGAGAGCCTTAGTAAAGATACAAGATGGCAAACCCGACACAGTAAAGACTATTACTCTGATATTTGATACATATATAAATATATAGTAAAATATAAATACAAGGGGGAAGTTTGAAAACCTAACTTGCAGGCTTTTAAAGAAGACTCAGTAAATACATTCTATACTAACTGTCACACAGCCTGGTTTGCTACAAACTTAACCCATGTTTAAGTGTCCTACTGCTGCTTGTCAAAAATCAAGAAGTTGAGATACTGCTTATAGAGAATATATAGTGGATGGGCAAAGTGCTTCCCCCCATCTCCATCCCCTGACCTATTTGCACCCTCCTTACTTATTTGTCTTTAAGTGTCCATGTAATTTGTTGGCTCTTTGGATCAGAAGTCTTTTATAGGAAATGCTTATAGATGCTTTATAAATGCTTTGAAAGCATCTAGCCTTTGAGGGCTGAAACTTGCATGGAAGTTTTGCTTTACAGAGTTCTAGAAGTGAAATTAAGTGCTGTACTTGGTAAATACAGCCAAAAAATCATGATTAATCATCCCAATCACATAGTTGTGCAGTTCAAGCAACTCAACTTTAAAGCTTTAAATTTAATTCAACTTCAACTTTAATTAAGAAGAAGACATTCTTATCAACACAAGTTTGCTACAGTTCATTTTGCTTTGCAAATTCAATTAACACAACATAACTTGCCCAGAAATGACGAAGGGGCTCTTTTTCCCCTTCTCAGGTCAAACAGTGAAACAGTAACACTTTTGCTTCCACTATGTGCAAGGAGGTTAAGACTTACATACCAGCAAACCAGCAGGGCCAGTGTTGGGAGATGTTTGATCTCCGTGAGTGTAGTAGTCATTCAGTGAAGACAAAAAAGGAGGATGCAGAGGATGGAGGTGGCAGTAGAAGAAACCCCAAGTTTTCTGTGTTATCCAACCCCTAACCAGACCACAAGAGAATCATGATCAGGGCCGCTGGAAAACCACAGATTCTTCGAAATTTATAGTGTTTTGCTTACTTCTAGTTTTCTGCATATTGTTCATCTACCCCGCTATCAAATTATGTTGTCTGCATCCCTAATACAGGGCTTTTAAAGCTCACAGCAGCTGGAGGCAGGAAAGAGAGGACCAGTTGAGAGACCTCTTTTCTTGCCAACTCCAAGCTCTTGAGAGAAGCAGTCTAGAAGCAGTGTAAATATACACTTGAAGACTAAAACCAACAACAGGAAAAAGATCAAAGCAGTGAGTGCATTACAATAAAAGTGGATGGAGCAAGGAGAAACTTCACTGTTTAACTCAATATAGAACAAAACCTTATTGCAGACATTAAATTCACAGTAACAGGAGATATTGAGGAAGCGTATTCTCCTTGTTAACAATAAATAAATAAATAATTTTTAAAAAAGACAGGAGGGAGATTTCCAAGTAATCTCCAAACTTCTTGGGAAACAGAAGGTTGGCATCTATGCTTAAAATACCAAGCATATGCAAAAAAAAAAAAAAAAAACACCACTAGTTCAATATATATCACATATACAACTTCCATTATACTTAAAAAATACAAAACACCAGAACTAAAAACTGCTAAAATGCTAAAAAATGCTAAAAACGGCTACCTCTTTTTTGTTTTGTAAAGGAAAAAAAATTAATAGTGTTGCCTTACAAAATAATGTTTCGAGAACATGCAGATTTTCTTCCTGTTTTAGAAAGTCCTTTATTAAATTGCTCTAACTTCTGGGCAGCGATTTCTTCAATTTTCCTACTGGCTCTGATCATGATCACTAAATTAACCCTGGTTATATAGTAACTGGGTGCTCATGCCTACATCTTGCATAAAGAATCATTACAGTGAGATCAGAAACACAGGAAAGCAAACAGCATTAAAAAAGGGAGGGAAGCAGTAATCATGTCTACATACGCCTCCAGTTCTTGTTTCATCTTGGTGAATTCCTCTTTAGTCATTGATCCTTCCCCTTCTCCAAGTTTCTGCAATTTCTCCCTTGAGGCATCAAAGTCAGGCCTGGGTGGTGCTGGAGGAATCTGGAAATGAATCAAAGTTTTTGTGTGTGTGCATATGAGTGCTTTTCAAGTTACTTGCAGCTTCTTAAAACACGGCTCTCCCTTTCCTTGTTTATTAAGGCATTTATGGACACATTCTCTTACAAACGGGTTAGACATTCTGCATTACTATATCAATTTTGGAGATCACTAAAGAATTCAGTAGTTCCATTGCAATAGAAATTAAACCATACCTGACTACCTACCAATACAGAGAATGAAAACTTTAAATCACAATTTTATAGTTATTTTTGCTTTGACTTATTTGGTAAGGATTGTTTCTTGTTTAAAGAAAAGAAGAACTTGGATGATTGTTTTCACACCACCCATTTATAACTCTTGAAAACATTTAATCAAAATCATCTGTATTATTTATGGACACAAGTTCTTTCTTGCAGAATTGTTAAGATTAAAGATACATCTGCTGAAATAACAAAATACACAGCAGACAAATCTCTAGCTAGTTATTCTTTTAATATGGTATATTAATGTTGAAAAAGGAAACACTGTCATCAAACTGATCCTGGACTGCAATGAATAAAGAGACACAAAACAAAGCTCACATTTAAGTTCACTGGTATTAACCCATTATATTAATCTTAAGAAAAAAAATAATAAAAATATGTCTGGTCTACTTAGTAAACCATTTAAAATTAATTACTAATTACTACCATTCTGAAGGTCTGTTCCTCCCAGGTAACCCCTCTTAATGAAAAAGACTAGCTCAGGAATGGTATGAAACATCACAGATTGACTAATGGGTATGTTACAGTGAAAGTAATCAGAAATACACATTAAGTATTGATTCAGTAGATACCCTCAACTCAAACACAAAATGAAATATAGAGCTTCCACACCAAGATAGCAAAAACTGCAACTTTTATTTAAAGTATAACAGTAACATCCAATTTTAACAGGTGCTTTCATATGGCAACTATTTGGGGGACATCCTTGCCCTGCACACCTTAAATAAATTATGAAGCCAAAGTTGGTGGATATTAAGATACTCCATAGTTCCACCTGGATTTTGCCTTTTTTTTCTTTCTTTTTTTTTTTTAATCCTTCTTCCAAATGATTTATGGGAAAAGGATTCTGATTTTCGTAACGAAAACTGGAAAAGCTTAACTATTACGAAGTTCAACTACTGCACTCTTGCCATTCCAGCTAAAACAATAGAAATATGAAACTAGAACAGTTATGTGCAAGAACAATAGCACCATGTTATAAAGGTCATCTATCTCCAACATTTTAATATTGTAGGCCAAAATTACACTAGGATACAGATAAAACATTAAACCACTCACTCCTTCAGTTTGATTACAGAAGGAATGAGCACGATCCACTCCCATTGCATTTAAAAGCAGATGCAAGTATTTTTGATGCAGTTCTAGGAAAACAGTATAAATAAAGTGGAAGAACTGCAATACTTACAATATAGCCAGCATAGTCTTCATTCTCAACAAAGGAATCATGAAGCCAAATAAACTCTTCATGTTGACGAACGACAGAAAATTCATTTTGTTTGAAATTTGGTAAGGAACTCTGAAGGGAGGAAAATGAGAAGAAATGATGAAAAAAAAATCAAAGTTTTTCATACTATATGAAAAAGTCTTAAAGGAAGAATAAAAAATATCCCTGCAAAAATAATATCCCTGCCAATCTTTTTCTATAATCTGGATAAGGATTTGAAAATGATTGTACAGTAATAGTTATCCTTATCTTAATTAGTACATCAGCCAACTGGAATGGGATGTCCAGAGAGAGATCCCATCCAACCTTAACTATTCTGTGATTGATTCTGCCATAAAGAAACCTTTGAATCCATTTTAAAAAATTAAAAAGCAAATAATCAGTCATTACTAACAAAACTTGAATGTAACCCACTACAAAATACAGTTTTAGAATCTGAAATAAGGTCTAATTTCATTAAAACAACACTGAGGAATATTTAGGTATATTAAAAATTATGCCTGTAAATAGGCCAATTACTAAGCATAGGAATAACATGACAAGACAACCATTCAGAAAACTGTCAGTCCTTATTTTCTAAACTGTCTTGGGGTTGCCTTCCTTTTATTACTTTTTTTAATCTTCTTATTTTTTTCAATCTTTTTCTATAATTGACACATTCTCTTAAACAAGAAATTATGCTATTTTTTGTTTCCTTTGGAAGGTATTGGATTTGTTTTAATAAACAATATAAGCAAACTTTCTTTTCTATATAATTGCAAAAATTTTCAGTGTAAAGATTTTACCTTTGTATGGACAGTGAATTTCACTTTGTCCCTCTCACTGAGTGCATCTGAAATATCCACTTGCAGAGCAGCATCAGTTTGGAGATCTACATTTATTGCTCTAAGCTAAACAAAGAAATATTTATTTAGCTTCAAAAATAAAATAAAAAATAAATCCGAACTTCATAGAGCTAAGTTTCCTTGGAAGCATTTTTATGATTTTTTTTTTTTAAAAAACAGCACTACAAATACAAGGAGTATAGTTATTCAATTTCACATATACACACAGGACATATAAAAAGATAGCTCTAAAATCTCAAAGAGTGATACAAAATTTACATTAAATAGAAAATGAAGCAATGATCCAATACAGAAAATTCCAACAATATCTGTGCATTGTAACTAACAGAGTCATTTTGGGCAGTAACTGGACCAATGCTCCACTGGTACTCAGTGAAACGAACATGTTTCCCTTTATAGCTCTGCTGTTTTAGAGCAATTTGCTGCACAACAATTTCTTCATCACCATTAACGAGAACTCAGAACAATTTTTACAAATACTAAGGCTATTCTGAAGCCCCCTGCAATCACATTAAAATGATTTCTGGCAATTCCATGCTTACAAGGCTCACTTTTTACTGAGACATTGCGTTTTCTTCTGTTGCTCTTCTTCTAGGAGTACCACATTCTACTGCATAAAAACATTTCGCTGTACAAAGAAAAAGCACTCCCTCCCAAAAAGTTCCGTCTGGATTGTTTTTTCAAGACTCTGCTCAAGTACAAAAAGGCATTAAGTATCAACAGCTCCTAGTACAAAGCCTATCCAGAGCAGATTTTGAATGGCATGCTGCAGGGCACTAAGACCTGGGATAGAGAGTGTTAGGAAAGAAGCACCAGCTTGTGGATCTTGTTGCCCCCCGTTACCCTAATACACTGCAGTAATTGGCACGAACTCCTATTTCCCCCTTCTCTCTGCCCTCAGTGCACACAACTTTGCTGCTTATACGCAGCAACCTGCCAACAGAGCTTACAATCAGCAATTAATATAAGCCAAAATCACTTGTCTAGCATATTCTGCTAAATATAGCAAACTGTAGCACTTCAGCATCTACCACACACATAGTTAAGCCATCCTCAGCAAAACGTGTGAAGTATTAAAATCACTCCATGATAACACAGTATTCCCTTATAAGCTTCAGGAATCTTCCTCACTCCCACCCAGGCTTAGGGATCACAGCCTCACACAAAGGCAAGATATTACTGTGCATCAATCCAGTGCATCTCACCTCCAAAGGAGAAGCTCCTACCAAGCTTTCAATGTGCTTAGCATCTAATTTAAGAAAGAAAAATACAATCTGACATAGCAATGTCTGCCTTATCTCAGCATGAAGAAGCTAATACTTAGCTTCTTTGCAGTATTGTTAGTTTTAACATTCCTCAGAATAAATTAACAAATACAGAATAATCTCAGCATATAATCTTCATTATCCAAACAGCACTTTTGCAATCTTTCACAGATCATAAATGCTTTGTCCTTTTGTTCTCTCTCTCTTCTTTTTTTTTGTAAAGTAGCATAACACAAAATTCCAAGATTCAGGATAAATGTTTGTCACTAGTGCTTCTGCAGTGTGTAGTGTAGCACACCCAGGCCACGTGCACTGGTCACAGGTTCAGAAACAAGATGTCTTTCTGTGCTGAGGAAATTAAAAGCAAACAGGGCAACCTCACTCATCCCCCAGAGGTCTAAAGCACTACATCCTTGACTGTCACAAGTTTAAGTCAGTTTAATCGTATGCTACATTATACTATCTAGCCTGACTGCCAAAAGGAAATTTTTTCATCTGAAATGGAAATAAAGCCATTTTATAAAAGGTATAAAAGACAAACAGAAAGTTGAAGGACTCCAAATTTATTCATGTGGCACAATGGTTCATATGGTATTACTGGGAATTAAATACTCAAACAATATAATCACACCACAAACTTAGGCAAGCTCTTCATGACTACCTCTAAAGAAAACTGCCACCAACAGATGGTTTTCTAGTTATCCAGGGAGTATAATGTATAGCGCTACATACATATACATAACATAATGCTACAAAACCTTCCAAAGTCAGGTTTGGATAAAAGCTGAAGTGAAACTACCCTAAATTCTGAAATCCTGAAGGCGGCATAGAGTCCTTCTGTCTCTGCCCCCCTTACAAACACTTGAAAGACAGCACAACAATTCTATACATCACTACATGCTCTATATCATTGCTGACTATCTTGAAAAACAAAAGCTAACTTCTTTTTACTTGTTAACAGCTCCCGATGCTACTAACCCATGCTACTGCAAAGTCTCTGCCTTACTCTAAGGGTCTAGAAAATATCAGAGGCCAAGAAGTGATGCTATCATACTAAAAGAAAAATAATAAAATGTGAGGAAATTTGGCAACTAAGCTCTTGTTCAAGGACCAGATATGCTTCAAATGATACTGGAAGGGAGTTGCTATAGACAAGAGAAACAACCCAGTCTTACTTTCCTGCTCCCCAGCAATGTCATCCTTTAACAGTAACTATGATATGTTAGCCCCTTTCCAAAATGTTAAGAGAAAATAGGTGCTTTCCCCCCCACCCCCAAAGGCTTTTTTTTTTTTTTTTTAAAAAGAGAAGAAGAAGCAACAGAGCAAGGAAACAAACAATTCACAGCAAAATGCTAAGTGTCACTATAGCAATAAGTTTCTCCCAGACCTGTGCTAAGTGATAGGTGGTTTCCTTTAGAAGAGTAAACAAGAACATTAGCCAGGTACATATAGTTATAAAATACACAAGACAGCACTAGTAGGGCAATACTATACTTGCTCTTCAAGCACGTTTGTGGAGAGAAATCACAAAAAAAAAAAAGGGAACCAAGCTACTCAGAGTGGACTCAATAGACTCACAAAAGCAATTCCTGCAAGTTCATCTATGCAGATCATTAATAACAAGTTCCTTCTGCAGACCACCCACTGCCATTTCCTCAAAGTTGATTCTCAGTGCTCTGCTCTATTTTACAACCAACCAGAAAATGCTCCATATGGTGTAACACATTTGTCAGAAAATTACTGTTTTATGTGGCCCAACATAATTTCCAGTCTTCCTTTCATCCTATCTCCCCAAAAAGGTTAAACTCAAGGCAACTGTAGCTTACCAAAACAATTTTGTCATGTTAAAAAGAAGGCGTAACAGCCTCCGAGTTCTACAAAGGAAAGGATCTTTATTTCCCAAACTGGAAGCTCGGTTATTTCAACCAGAAGTTGCTACACGGCCTTTCTACAACTAGAGGCTTGCCCAACCCTTCCCTCCCCCTCGTTCTTTTTAAATCACAGCAGAAGGTGACAAATCAGAGTCAGGGAAATACCTTAGGAAAAAATGTTTTTTTACTGCTGCTACCGAGAAAAAGAGAAGCTACGCTTCTGAAGATGAAAGCACAAGGAGCACATTTATAGGCAGACAGTTATGAACAGGAAGGAGAAGGACTCTTCTCTAGTTTAACTCCTCAGCGTTGGTTGCTGGAGTGAGTGGGATAAGAAAAAGTGGGACTGCACTTGGACAACAGAGATGTAGGTTGTCCAATAGCACAAACAAAACTGCTAAGAGATTTATAAAGGGCTTAAAAATACATATGAATTTGGACTACCTGTAGTCAGAAAGGGAGAAAAAAAGGTTTCACACAGGATCAGACTTCCATTCTTATGTTCTACCTACAGCTTCAGATAAGGAAAATTACATGCTTTCAGGTCTGTCTCTTGTATTTAGAGACAACAAGTGTAAAATATGACTCCACTGTTAACATATTCTACAGTCCAGGTCCTTAAGATACTCAAGGCACTACAATTTCCACCTTTCCTCCTTTTCATCCAGTATTCTTACTTAAGGAATTAGATAATTTAAGGCACAAACTCTGCAGTGGGCAGAATGGGCCTAGTACCTTACTAGGCATCAAGGATAATACTCCCTTTTGACTTCATGGCCATACTGGAGCATAAAATGTACGGGAATCCAGTCAAAATTCTCGCTAATCTTTAAAAAGCCCTTAATATTAAACTTGAGTATGGCATGCACGACAAATATACAACCAATACAACACGACTGTATACCAATACAATCATTCGGATTTTGCATTTTTAGCATTCAGCACCTTTATTTCAGGAATGATGGGTATAGCTACTTTAATAACTGCAACAACCAAGTTAATCAGTGTTCCTTCCCAAAAAAAGCAGCTCTCTTGCCTTGCTCGAAGTCTTTTTTTCTCGAGACGATGGGAGCAATTAGGCTGGATGAGTTACACTACGTGAGCTGATTAGTTGCTTGAGACAGGACAGTTAGAGAAAGATGGATAGCACAGCCATGAAGAGAGGATAAACAAAGGCCAGACTCAGCAGGCTGGATAGAAAGGTTTTCCCGGAGAAAAACATAACCATGGCATCCTGTACTGACAGTAATCCATACAGCGAGAGAACTTCTTTTGAACAATAAGTTTATTATGTGGCATGCCTGCAATATAAGCCTTGTTTTGTCATCGGGGAGGCACCCCAGGCTTTAGGTGCTCCGTCGTCCTTAGGCCCTGGCTCATGGGGACAGGGGGAACCAGGTGCTCTCCTCCAAGCTGCTCAACATGGGCAGGGGCCCAGCAGCCTGAGAGGGAGTGAGGGGAGGGATGTGACAGTGGGTGGCAGAGAGATAAAATACCAATTTCTTGCAGTGCTCACAGACTGCCTCAAGTTACTCTTATCGAAAGCACTAGTGAGCAACTTGGCTGACCGAAAAATAAAGAGATAAATAGAAATCACGGCAAAAACAGACACTGGCTCAGCCCAGAGGCAGGCCGCGCTGCTCCCACCGCAGACCCCAGCGGCCCCCA